CACCACTCACCACTCATCACCACCCACCACTCACCACTCACCACTACCCACCACCCACCAACACACCCACTACGACCACTAACTACCATCCGCTACTACCACCACTACCTACCACCATCACCTCCTAAAAACCACCACCCGCCACCACCACCCACCTCTACCACCCATCACCACCGTGTGTCACCACCACCTACAACCACTACCTACCACCCATCATCACTACCTACCACTACCCATCACCCATCACTAGCTGCTGCCCACCACCACCCGCCACCTCCCACCAGCTACCCACCATAACTACCACCCACCATCACCACCACTACCCATCACTACTCACCACCACCAACCACCACCCACTACGCATCACTACCTACCACCCACCACTAACCACCACCACTACCACCCACTACAACCACCACCACCACCACCATCACCACCCACCATCATCACCATCCAACTAGTACAACCCACCACCACCACCACCCACCTCCACAACCCATACCCACCCACCATCCACCAAAGCCACCACCCATCACTATCACCACCACTTGCAACTACGCACCCATCCACCACCACCCATCACCACACGCCACCACCACCAATTACCACCACCCACCGCCACGACCCCCACCCCCACATACAAATATTTGTTATTGTGTTTTTGATTGATTAGTTTTTCTCTTGTATATAATCATATGTGATTATATGTATCCGGTCACATGTGATTATATATATCGAATCATATATGATTTATATTTTATTAATTACATATAATCACATGTGATTAAATACACGTGAAAAACTAGTGAATCAAGAATGCAAAAATGAATATTGTCCACGTAAATCATATGTGTTTAGATACATATAATTATACATGATTATATGTATTTAATAAAATATTATTTACATGTGCCGTATTTATTTTTGTGTTTTCGATTTAATAATTGGCATTGTGTATTAAATCACATGTGATTATATGTATTTAATGATATATTATTTAGATGTATAATATTTGTTTTCACGTATTGATTTATAAGTTGTTCTTGTGTATTTAATCACCCGTGATTATATTTATTTAATTACATATGATTCGTATGAAAAATATTTATTCTTGCGTTGATTTAATAATTATTCTAATATATTTAATCACATGTGATTATATGTATTTAATCACATATGATTTATGTGGACAAGATTCATTGTTTCTTTCTCAATTCAATAGTTGTACTCATGTACTTAGTCACATGTGATTATACGTATCAAATCGCATATAATTTATATTGATAATATTCATGATTCAATATTTTCTTCTTATGTATTTAATCATATGTGATTTTATGTATTAATCACATATGATTAATTTAGAAAAAGAAAAACTATTTAATCAAAAACGCGAAAATAAATCTTGTGTACAGAAATCATATGTGACTAAATGTACAAGAACAACTATTGAACAAGAACGTGAAAATGAATATTATCCGTATAAATCATATCAAATTAGATACATATAATCTCATGTAATTAAGCACACAAGAAAAACAACTAAATTGAGAATACGAAACTAAATATTTCCACATAAATTCTATGTGATTAGATACATATAATCACATGTGATTATATGTATTTAATCACATATGATATATGTGGACAATATTTATCTTTGTGTTCTCGATTCAACAGTTTGTTCTTGTGTATATAATCATATGTAATTATATGTATCTAATCACATATGAATTATATAGATATCATTATTTTTTGTTTGTATAAATCATACGTGACTAGATACATATAATCACATATGATTATATGTATTTAATCACATATGATTACAGTGGAAAAAGAACAATTATTGAATGGAGAATGTGACAATGAATCTCATCCATATAAATCGTATATGATTGGATACATATAATTACATGTGATTATATGTATTTCATCAGATATGATTTATGTAGACAATATTTATTTTTTTGGCTTCGACTAAATAATTGCTTTTGTGTAATTAATCACATGTGATTATATGTATATAAACACATATGATTTGAGGTGGACAAGATTCATTTTTTCCCTTCTCGGTTCAATAGTTATGCTCATGTACTTAATAACATAGGATTATACATATAATCACATGTGATAAATTACATGAGAACAACTATTAAATCGACAAAGAAAAATGAATTATGTCCACATAAATAATGTGTGATTAGATTCATATAATCATATATGATTATATGTATTTAATCACATATGATTAATTTGGATAAATATTTATTTTCACGTTCTTGGTTCATTATTTGTTATCATGTATATAATTACGTGTGATTGTATGTATCTAATCCTATATGATTTAAATAGACAGGATTTGTTTTTTTCCAAATAAAATCATATGTGATTAGAAACATATAAGCACATCTGATTAAAAGTATTTAATCACATATGATTAAAGTGAAAAAAACAATTATTGAATCGAGAATGCGAAAAAGAATCTTAGCCACATAAATCATATGTGATTAGATATACATAATCACATGTTATTAGGGTATCTGTGAACAATAACATAAAACAAGTAATACCTACATAATAGGAGAGTTAGTACTCACCTCCTTGATCTTGAATATTATCTAGCATGAACAAGATAGATCCTTTCCTTTCCGAAAACCTACATAAAAATTATAACATTATTTAGATTGTGTTTGTTGTATTAATCTTATAAAAATTATGTATATATTTCCTTATTTTCTCTTTGATTGTAGTCCTCTGTTTGGGATATGTTTTCTTACCTTTCAACCCATTATTAATTTTTGATAAACTTATATTGGTAAATTTCCCCCTTTTATCTTTTTAGAAATATAAAGATCTCATTCTAATGATTTTTGGCTTATTTTATATTAAATTTACAAATTGGTAACTTTTAACTGTCACTTTCTGGACCACCAACACTCTTGGAATAAATTGTATTAATCTACTAAGAATTACATTAGTCCCTTTATATTTTGGAAACTATACATCCATATCTAACTATAGGCTTTAAAAGTTTGTCATTTGGAGTTCTAATGAATTTATTATGATTTTTTGAAGACAGTGTATGAAATCTATGACAGCATGGACCAGCCTGAGAAGATTGCCAATTTTACCCCTCAAGGAGTTGGAATTTCGAAATATGATTCAAAGTTTGAAGAAGTTAGACACACTAAGATTTCTAGAAAATTAAATCTCATGATTTTTAGATGTTCTTATTGACTTGCACAGATTTTAGAAGTTGGAGGACAGATTTGGGAAAATTGATCATAATATCTTCTAAATCATTTTTGGTGTTCTATTAAGGAGTTAATGGTTAAGCCTTAAGTTTATCACTTTTAACATGATTATTGGTTACTTATTAGGATATAGAGATGTGAAATTCAGTTTAACCTAAGGGCCTTAATGTTTGACTTAATGAGGGTTCAAAGTTAATGATTTTCAATAAAATGTCACTTTCATACTTATTAGGGTTAAGTTGCCAACTTAACCCATTAAGCCCTTTAAGTCACCTCTTTCGAGTCCTACACAGAGGCAAATTAAACAAAGATATCAAAATATGTTTGGGGAAACTATGCAAGAATATAAAATCCATTTTATAATCTCAACAACCAAACATTCAAGTTGTTTTGGGGAAATGAAGTCCAGTAAAAAAACAGAGGAAAATTAAACACAAACATCAAAATGATGTTGTTTCAACAAAAAAAAAAACCGTCAACAAACACCTACAGACTGCAACAATAAATACACCACCTTATACTTGATTTATTTGTGGAGGTTTTTTCATTAAGGCATTTCATCGAACACTTGGTGTTCATAATAAATCTGTAAGCTCTCACAATGTCTATGAGATTATATGAAACATGATAGAAGTTAATTACCCCAAATGAAAGAGTAATGAAGTAACAATAACAACAAGAATCACTAATCATCTAGAAAGTATGTGTTTGACATCATACAAATCTCATAAGAACAAATATGTGTAAGGAATAGAGGATAATTACCAAATATAATCAACGTCTGCTCCAAAGTAAGGAACCAAAAGATAATCGAGATCTGAAACCCTAGCAAAAAACTCATTGCATATTGAAGAATCACTTGACTAACACAATTAAGAAATAAAATCAATCGTTTGTTTTGCGAGGGGATCATCTTCCTAAGAAGAAATGGTGGTTATGAGAGGAGAAACCAGAATACGAGGATGGAACGTTTGGAGATTATGGAGGAAAGGAGCTCGATCACAGTAGATGAAAGTGGTTTCCTATGAGGGCGCGAGTGAGGCAGAGGGACGTGCAGCCAAGCAAATAGAAAAAATAAATAACTGGTTTAAAATTGTTCTCATTCTAAAAAATGTTCTCATTTTAACATATATATATATATATATATATATATATATATATATATATATATTAATTCCGCTGAAAAAAATTTGGAAACTTTTTTTAAAATGAATTTATAAATACAAATAAAAATAATTTTTTTAAAAAAACATTTCAATGAAAATGTAGCTATATATGTGATTTTTTATTGAGAAAATTACACGGATGGTCCCTGTGGTTTGTGGTCACTTGCACGCTTGGTCCCTAGAAAGATTTTTTTAACTTGGACCATCCCCGAAGCTTAAATTTGTTACCCGTCTAATCCCTCCTTTAACGTTTCTATTTGTTTAGGTGTTAGTAACCCACAAAGTGAGTTTTTTTTTTGTCATTTCAACATTTCAAGCCTCTAAAACCCATCTCATTCATTCTTTTTCTCAATTTCTTCTTCTCAATTCTTCCCTTCGTATTCTTCTCTTGGGCATGCCATCCAGATAAATGGAAAAAGGTGCACGTTCCCACTTTTCGGCAGCACCATGCTATTATTGCTCAGGTGTGTGTGTGTCTATGAGTTGTAGTTATCAGAGACATATAAACAACTGAGGACGGATGTCCGCAACTAGATTTGCCTAAACCAGAACTATGAAACAACGGAGCAATAGTCTCTCATTCTGGGTGGCATGTGTGCAGGCTTCTTGTGACAGTTTTTGGCAATCCATAAACCAGAACAGTAGCTCCCGATCGGAATCTGTCACCCATGGATGTGCCTGCGAAATTAGGATTACAAGGTTTCACCATTCGACTTCGAACTTCCGGTTCAAGAAATTAGAAATTTCTATGACTAAATTGAAAAAGATTATGTCCCTATTTATATGATTGCAAATATTACGTATAAGAAAATCTTTATCTTGAATTTCTAACAAATTCGGTATTAATTTTGACTTTAAAAGTCAACGATACCTTGATATATATATATATATATATATATATATATATATATATATATATATTGCTCGATACATTCCATCATCGACTGACCTTGCAAAATCAGGGACAGTAGCAGCCAAAGATTGAAACTTTTCGAGCTTCAAGTTAACATCAGATGCCACCTCAACAAGATAGTTGTCGATGAGATTAGCCACCATCATCACGGGTGTAAGAGAATGAGAATTCTTGATTAAATCATCATCGTTGTCTTCTAAGCAAACCCGAATCAGTAATTTCACTTCCATCTTGATCGGGATTTCGATCTGCAACCATGAAATGATCAAGTATCCTTTGAACACACAATCGATCTCATAAAGTGTCTCACTTAAATACCCCATATTAGGAATTAGAATATCTTCAATGGAAGCTTGATTCATCTGTAAACCGACCCATCTTTCCAAATTCTCAAGGAACAAAGGGCTACAATGACCACAAAGAATGAAAGGGGTGGGTTTTAGAGGCCTTGCAATGGTGAATGGATAATATTGCCCTCGGTATGTGGGTTACTAACACCTAAAAAAACAAAAAAGTTAAGAGAGGGATTGGGCAGGTAACAAATTAAAGTTTCTGGGACGATCCGAACTAAAAAATCTTTCTAGGGACCAAGCGTGCAAGTAACCACAAACCATAGGGACCATTTGTGTAATTTTCCTTTTTTAATTATAAAGTCAAAAAAAGAGATTAGATATTTGAAAATATTTTTTTTATGTCTTTTTTATTAGTGTATTTTTGGGTATCTAGAGTTTTTATTTTTATTTATTTAGGTTTATACATTTTCTATTCATCCCAATATATATATATATATATATATATATATATATATATATATATATATATATATATATATATATATATATATATATATATATATATATATATATATATATATATATGAGTAAATTATATGAATGGTCCCTATGGTTTAGGGTAAATTACATGTTTGGTCCCTAACTTATTTTTTTAACTCGGAAAGTCTCTGGTGTTTGTTTTTGTTACGTGCTTGGTCCCTGTGTTACATAAAAAGTCTATTTTGCGCTTTATTTTTTAATTTATTTAAATAAACACACTCTCAACATCAATCCTTTCGCCTTACTTTACATACTCCATCATTTTTCTCTATTTAAATAATAATATTTTTAGGTAAGGCAGGGACCAAACGCGTAACAAAAACAAATAGTAGGGACCAAGCGCATGACAAAAACAAACAATAGGGACCTTTCGAGTTAAAAAAATAAGTTAGGGATCAAACGCGCAAATTACCCCAAACCATAGGGACCATTCGTGTAATTTACTCTCTCTCTCTCTCTCTCTATATATATATATATATATATATATATATATATATATATATATATATATATACACACACACACACACGAGATAGTTATATTGAGATTATGAAAAAAATAGAAATTTTGAGATTCAACTCCAGCCACATACTTGTCATTTGCTACTCTAATGCTCTGATGTACTAGTGCGACGAGATAATGTCTAATCATAAATGATTATATAGTGGAAATATATAATAATATATGATTATACGTATTTATACATATATGTGGGTTCAAAAAGTGATCAATCATATGTAATTATGGTGGTTGGTGGCAGAAGAGGTGGTGACGATAGAGGTGGTGGTGGTAAATGTGACAGTGGTGTTAGTGGTAAGGTTGGTTAGTGGATGAGGTAGTGATGATGATGTTTGTATTGGTGCCGAAGGCGGCGGCGAAAAAAGGAAGGGGGTACTGCATGATCATTTATGATTATAACTCTTCCGTATCGATGGTACACTAAAACGACAATGTGAAGTATATGATTGTGGTTGAATCTCAAGATCTCTATTTTTTTTGAAATCTCAACGAAACCTACGTGTATATATATATATATATATATATATATATATATATATATATATATATATATATATATATATATATATATATATATATATATATATATATATATATATATATATATATATATGACACTCTAATACCACGTATGATTTGAATACGAGGGGGTGATTTCTTTTTGTGTTCTTATGATTTTATGAACTCAACGGAAAATAAGAACAACGATAAGAAAACAAGAACAATGATAACTTGCTCACCAAGAAAACAAGAAAAGATAGATGTGATAAACAATCTAGACCTATAGATTGAATATCGGTGAAGACAAATAAAGACCTATTGATTTAAATTCGAATCAACCAAGAATAGGTGGCGTAGAATTGACAAAGGCGTAGAATTGATAGTGATGTATATTTTGCTCAGTAATGTTTTGTATATTTTGTGTTAGTATTGGTGTGGAGTTTCGTGTACCTATTACCAATTCTATTGAAGACACACCATTTGATATGTGACAAGGAGATATGTATTCATCATTCTTGTAGTTTACTTTAAAGATTTCATCTTCAACATGTTCAGGCAATAGGATACTAAGAACTTACACCACTTTCAGAGTGTTGTTATTATATTTTAGGTATGGAAATGTACTTATTACCTATTTAGTTTTATTAAGTAATACATCTATATTTCTATTAAATAGTTGATGTGATAATAATTCATTGACTTTAAAAGATAAATATGCAGGGTATATTACTACCTATTGTTAGTCATAAATCAGTCTCAAAATTTCAACCTGACATTTATCTTCATTGCTTCAATTAAATAAAATTTACAATCCCCATAACCTTATTGATCTTTCATTTACTATTGAAGTCTTATAAATGTTGGAAAAGCCGTATTATAATTTTAATCTATTTTTATTATGCAATTTGACATCCCCTTTCTAAAATCCCTTTTATAGGAATGGACAAGTGCAATGTCCTTTGGGTGATTAGAGGATCAGCACCTATAGAGCCTCATTTTGATGCATATGGATATTATAATGTCATATATATATATATATATATATATATATATATATATATATATATATATATATATATATATATATATATTAAATTGAGGGTGCATGATCATGGGTTACCTGAATGGAAATATGCCAATGAATGAGTCACTTATGTGGAGTCTGTCAACATTCATAAGTTGACTCCTCAAACACTCCAAGACATTGCCGATGAACTTGGGGTTAAAACAAAGGTAAATTGGTTCTCGCTTATATATAGTTAGACATTGGATTACAGTCTCATACAACTGCAGACTGAGTACGACGTTCATAGTTTTAAACTAAGTATTTTTCCTGATGATTGCAGGATGATAATTTACGTGTTCATCGATTAAGAAGCACCAATATGTGATATCTTATTGCTAGCTACTCTTAAGAGGGCTTGCCTTTAAAAAATAGGAATCCGCTTTATGATTTTGTGTTTGCCAATCCGGATTCAAATCTTGAATATACTACTAACTACATTTCAGAACACTATGTTGTTCGAATTCCTATATGTTACATGTTACCAAGGCTAGAATATGCAAGAAGGTTAGTTACATATTGGTAATTGCAGGATGTAAATGAGAATAACTCTTCATGAAAATATTTTCCTAGTTTTGGTTTATGCTTCTTTTACTGTAAAGGAAAACATAATGAATGCATTTTTTGTTTGGCTTGTAAAAATAATATATAATATTATGTTTTGTTAGATCTATATGGAAATTGTAATTTTTCTTAAGTTTGTTGCTGTTTTTTTGATACATACATAGGGAAAATGACCTATAATTATACATAAAGGCGGTTTTCCATACTATATGTTGCCAAAACGTTTATAATAAAATATATCATTTACATTCTAAATATGATGGGAGTAATGAACTCATTTTCATTTCGTATTAAGTGAAAATGTTATCCTTATCAGATTTGACATATGAACATTTGGCTACATCTGTAGTAATGTCACATGTTTAAGGCAGTTGATTTTATTGCTTATTAACTTTGGTCAATTGGTGGCTGTGGATTAACTATAACATTTATACTTGCAGAATTGAACTTATTTTCGTTAATTTTTTGATGAGTATATTGCCTTTTTATTTTTGCTAAAACACGAGTTAGTTTGATCGAGAGGAATTGAAAATTATTAGACAAATGTTTGAAGACACCAATTATCTTCCGGATGCAATCATTGGTAACCCTGCTCCTGTTTTTGTTCCAATCAAATTATGTTAGGCTGCGGATGGATCATCATCAAAAAGTATCATGAATCACTTTAATTGTTCTTATTGTAGCTCGAATGAAATAATGACAGACTGCGGATAGATCTGGATCGACAACTCTTATGAATCACTTTAATTGTTCCTGCTGTAGATAAACACTTTCTTTTTATTTGTTTATAAAAAAATCATTTTTTTTGTGAAAAGAATACCAACTACTAGTAAATACATAGAGCAACATATATAATGGGAGTTATTTTATATTATAACCTCCTTTATTCCGTATGTAACCGTCTAGGCAAATTTATTTTTAACCATATACCCAAGTATTGATATAACCATGTCTCATTATCTACTTAACAAACTTGGTTTTGTAGTTAAAATCATGATAGAGATCGAGTGCTAAGGATATATAACTACTTTGGTTTATCTTATTTAAAAAACACCATTTGATTTTTTTCTATTATACGTATAAAATAACATATCTTATTTTGTAGGGTACAATGGAAACAAGAAATATATCAAGAACATAATGTGGTTTTGATGTTAACATGATGACTGAGTTTTTTTCTTGAACTTGTTTATGAGCATTTGATATTTTGTGGGATACAAGTAAAGAAGCAGAAAGGCTTATGACCATCATGTTCTTGATCTGTATAGACAGTGCAATGATATCATTTCGGGTTTTATCGTTCAAGAAAGACCACTTTTTTCATATGATCTTCAGTACCATTTTGTAGCATTGTCTTATTTGATGTCCGTTGATCTTAATTTTTTTTACTGTTATGTTGTAGAATTATAGCGTCCTCAAAACATGGAATCCTTTTGTGTGAGTCGGGCCACCCAAACTCTGTTGTCATGATTATCTGTGTTGTATGTAAACCTGCTACAAGACCATTCAGGGCTATACCAAATCTGAGAACTAGATTTGATACCTTTAAAGTTGTTATTGCGGTTGTTGATGGAGATCCATTGCATTAAAGAATATTTTGATTATTTCACTGAAAGAAAGAGTAAGTGACCATGTGAACATCATTGTTATTTAGTAAAAGGTGTACTTGAAGGAATTTTTTTATTTGTATGGTAGTGAAGAAGTCTGGTGTTTACTATCAAGTATTTAATTTTGAGGTTTTTGACTCAAAAGATAAGACATGATGTTTACTAGATCCAATATTGTTGTCGGTAATGACATCGTTTCTAAATGAGGAACTAGTTATTAGCAGAGGTAATGTGTATATATCATTGAAAAATGGTGATATAGTGAAGATTAATGC